GAGTTAGGTAAACGTTGTTTACTTCATCTATACGGTTAAACGTAATTATACATTTAGCTCATCTTATAATATTAAAAATTCAAATACATTACATTCAGTAACCTTGCAGATTCAAATAAATTAATTTATGGTACTGTATTAATATAAAGTCACGGCTTAACTCTAGTTTTTAACCTTCGTTCGAAACTTTAAAATTTTAAATAGGAGATAATGAAATCTAAGGTAATAGATTGTATTTCATAATGACATTTTTGGGGGTATTCCGTTAAATCGAATAAAAATCGATTGTTATTTAGCTTCAAGTAATTATTTTCTGTAAAGTAACAGCTGTTTGCCCAATTGTGGTCCATATGATAAACTATTTACTCATGATGCTAACGATGTTTTTCTATGTCTTTATAAATACGATCTTCTATAAGCCAATTTTATTTATATTTGTCTACGGCCATAGCTAACAAGATCGCTTGACTGATACTTCAATTATTCGCTTATAACTTCAAATTTAATGGATCAATCTAAAGACGAGAACAACGATGATACAGCATATGAAATAGATAGTAACTGCAATCAAGATAGAATCGAAGATGGAAGAGAAGCATTGGAATCAACCTCAAAACACGATAAGAGACTCCTAATCAAACTAGCTACATTAGCACTTGCATCTTTTTTTCCACAAGCTTTCTATACATTTTTTGATGTCTTTGCCGTACCATCCCAATTAAGCCTAGGAATACCTATTGGACTAACACTAATTCCCGTGATTCTTGCAACCTTAATCGGATTTTTTTTAATTCCAATCGTTGGCAATTTATCTGATCGTTGCACTTCTCGGATTGGAAGACGACGACCATTTATCATAATTTTCCTTATATCAGTTTTAACATCTGCTGGGATGATATCTTTTAGTCGGATAATCGGTCTTGAGCTATGGCCTCATCATTTATTAATAGGGCGTATTATACTTATCGTTGGATTAATTATAGAGCTATCATGTTGCTCTATATTATTAGCGCCTGCTAGAGCTCTTGTTATGGATGCTGCTCCGATTGATATGCAAGTTACTGCTAACAGTTTAATAACTTGCTCAGCAGGCATTGGAGCTGCTACTACTACTGCTATTAGTGGGTTAGCTTCCAATCTAATATCGATATAATAGTAGAACTTTGATACGATGATGATGTCTACTTTATATCGAAGATTATCTTATCCTGATAAAATAATAGCATTAAGTTAAAGTTACATTGATAGACTATATTAGTTAACGAATTACTAAGCTAGCAGTATACTCATGTTTTTTAAATATAGGATTAATTGGAAGGAAACGCCACTAGTAAAAATATTTGGTGGACAAATTGAAGTAGCTTTCATTTTGATAGCTTCAATAGGTATCGTAGTGATACTGATTGCGACGACAAGCTATGCAGAAGTTCCATATACCATCATTGGCTCTACTGATGTATTAATCCATAAATCATCAAGTAGAAAAAGTAGCGACGATTTGAACATGTTTGCTAAGGACTGTAAGACATATAGTTCTATCCAATCGACTGTTATACAAAAAGATCAGATGGAAATAACAGATACCTTAACTGATGATAAACTACAAGCAATTACTGCAAAAGAGATAAGTAATTGGAATCATCTGTATCAGACTTATTATTTTACTAAAACTATGCCAAAGGAGTTACTCATTTTGTGGATAGCAAGCTTCTTTAGTTGGCTATCATATAATTCATTCGCCTATTTCTTAACTGATTTTGTTGGTCAATCAATCTATCATGGTAATCCTCTAGCAGCCGAAAATTCGACAGCTTTACATCGTTATGATCGCGGTGTCTCTGTTGGAAGCTGGGGTTTCCTGGGCTGCACTATTGTATCCGTCGTATATTCCTTGACGCTTGGGCGAATAACAAAATATATCGGTAATTTAAAGTTTTATTTTTTGTGTCTAAATAAGTTGTGAATCCTTTATTCCATTTTAGATATAATAAATAAATTTTGGAAGTTCTACCCATTCAAACAAATATTTAATTTAATAGTTATCAATAGAAAATGTAACACTATTTACACGTAATATATATACTATATAAGTAGCAAAAATAGTCGTCGTGATTGTATTTGAAATCGATAAAATTAACAAAGAATCAAGGAACAGTATAGTATTCTAAAATATAGGATAATTATGTTAGATATATATGTTCTCTAAATTTTTATGGA